TGAAGGGGTTGCTCTCCACTGCATCAGAGGGCATTTCTTTGGCAATTACATGATTGCCCTGATGCTTGCTTGAGGTTTTTGCCTTGGATGATTTCTATTCACCCGAAGGCTTCCAGCAGCGCTCATGAGTGTGCCCTAGCTTTTTACAGTAATCACACCAGGGCCTCGTCGTATTCGTCCGAGCGTCGACAACTCGGGTTGTGAACGCTGAAGAGTTTTCGGCCAGATGAGTTTGCTTAACATCACCCATCATGACCTTCCTGCGGCTCTCTTCGCGTCGGACTTCAGAGAACGCCTCCCGAAGACTTGGCAAGGGTTTGGTACTCGGCACGCGTCCCCGAATCTCGTCGAGGTTCCTGTTCAAACCCAGCAAGAATTTGAAGACGCATTTTTCTTCAACGAACGATTTGAAGTTCTTCGCGTCTTCGAGGCAGCTCCATCGACGCTCTTCGAATGTATCCATTTGCTGCCAGTTACGAGTTAAGACGTTATAATACTGAGTGACGCTTAATTCGCCTTGCCGAAGATCATGAAGCGCGGACTCTATTTCGAAAATAGCGGAAGTGTTTTCTTTGCTGGAGTAAAATTCCTGAGTTGCTTTCCAGATTTTGTAAGCAGTTTCATAGAGTAAAAAATTCTCTCCAATTTCTGGGGTCATTGACGTGATGAGCCCCGACATCACCATGCTGTCTTCAATCTCCCATACGCGAGCGCTTGTGTCAGTCGCTGGAGGAGATGCAACTTCGCCAGTAAGATGTCCATAGCGACCCTTCTTCCGGATGAACAATCGGACAGAGGACGACCGTTGTAGGTAATTACTGTCGTTGAGTTTGTGTCAGGATGTAGGACGAAGACATCTCACTTGCAACGTTGCTTGTTGCTGTGTGATGATAGAAACCAAAGGAGACCTCTGGAGAAGACAGAAGCTCACCTGTGGCCATTTGTGATTACAACTTAGCAGGGATCACTCTTTTTGTATCAGGTATGACTCTGATACCATGAAGAAATTTGAGAGGAAATGTTGCTTCTCATCTATTCTTTCCATCATGAATAATGGGTATTTATACACCCTAAATGCTAACAAACCCAACAAATTCTAACAAGATTCTAACAATTTTATGCGGATGAGGAAATCTGTTTGTAACTTCCTCCGTATACAGCTAATAAAAAAGAAACAGAAAATATACAATCTAATTTCTTCTTATTTTCTACAAAATGTATATAATATTGCATCATTAAACTTTCATATAAGTATTTTAATTAATAAATTTACCAGTACTATATTTTTTTGAAAGAAAAATTTATAAATGTTATATTTTAATTTTTATTTCATGTTATTTTAATTTAATAATATCATAAAATTTTATATAATTATTCCAGAAACCTCTCAACTGTTTTTGAGTAAAAAATGCTATATATTTATTGGCACCAAGGATGCAGCCTGTATATTAAAAAATTATAGCTGTAACATAATACCTACGAGGTCCCAAAGATCCTCACTAACATACAGTGGAGATCCCTAATTAAAAAGCTTAGTGTTCGGAACCAAACATCCTTGAATCTATCAAAATTAGCCTCTATGCGTTAGAGCTCTTCTGTTTCTCTCATTCTAAATGACTCAAAAGGTAGCTAAAGGAATAAGGCCTAGAGAATGCTTATCACATTTGATAACTCTCAATAGCCCCTCATCGAACTAGTTATCACCCATTGCAAACCCAAAAGACCACATGGAAAAGAACATAATTGATATGTGGAAGGACACCAAGTGAGAATATGATTACAAGATTTTGCTTTGCCCTTGCACAAGTATCATCTTTTCACCAAGATCTTTTCCGTCTTTATCAGCCTATTTGGCCTTAATATGTGCTCCCCCCACCACGTTCTAAGAAAAAAAAGAGCCATTCTAGGTGTTGTCTTTACTTTCCAAATCATCCTAGATGGGAAATTCTCACACCTCCCATCTCCC